AATATCCATCACCTGTCTGTTTAGTGAAGCCCCAGCCCTCACCTGTGAAGTATGGCTGTCATCAGAGCTTGTCCCCAGGGCATTGGGCAGGACAGCTCTTCACAGTGAGCACTGTCCGGGGCACAGCAGGCACTCTGGCATTTCTGTCCCTCTCTAACTGCCATGAACAACACCCAATACAGCCCCCAAATGAGAACACACTATCAAAGTCTACTGGAAGGAGGCAGAAGGAAGGAGGAGAGAGATTGGGCTAGGTGTGTAGGGATGAACAGTGACCATAAATGGGGTGTCAAGGAAAAAACACTCCAGAGGAGGGGAACAGAAGAAGTACAGTTAGGGGTCAGAGAAGCCGAAGGAACAGGCTGCAGAAGCTGCAAACTGGTGGGCCTCCAGTTGAATTAAACACACTTTTTTGGCTAAGCTTCCACATGGTAAATTTCTTACTTTAATGTCAGAGCCTCGTTCCCCAGTTTCCCTCAGGTCCTGTAGTCTCCCCTGCCCAGCTTCCAGCATGTGAACCGCCTCTGTCCTACAGGCTTTCTGTGAGCCCAGCACAAGGCACTCAGCTGGGTAACCTTCCAACTTGGCTCAGTATGTAAGGGGTTTCAAGAGGACTCCGAGGAAGCCCTCACTGCTCCCCCTCTCCCCTAACTTCCGCCTGCAAAGGGCTGCAATGAGACTGCTGCTGCTTCCGTCTGCTGAGGAAGGCAGCGGGACCCTGGGATGTGCTGGCCTCTGATCTCCCACAGTCATGGGTCAGCAAGGGCAGGGACTAGGAGGCCTTTCATGCCCACTGTTTCTCCAGGGTCCCCTGAACTGCCTAGGACACAGCGTGCTCCAAGGACAAGCTCCACTGTGTGGGGCCCATACAGCTGAAAGGGTTCCCACTTGCCTCCCTGACATTCCTTGCACCTGTGGCGGAGCTGTGCTGGGGCCATGGTGAGAGGGTACACTTTGGCTCAGGACCAGGCCTGGCAAAAACAGCAGCTCCAGGTGCCCCAGGGGGACTCTCTGGTGCAGGAGAGGAAGAGAAGTCTGGATACAGCTCCGTTTAATGTGGGCTGTGTATGCCCTGCCAGAGGCTCTTTACCAGGCAGGTCCACCCCCCTTCAGCTGGGAGGGGTGCCAATGCTCACAGTTTACACCTGTAACCTTATCCAGTCAAACACCCTTGGCCTTAGGGGTGCTTCACCCAGAGGCCTGGGAGGCTGCACACACCCCTTTCCCCCAGAAGCAGCCAATGGTTGACTGACAGTGGGTTCAAAAGCTCAAAATCTTGGTCTTCCCCTTGCCTCAACCTGCAGTACAATTCCTCAGGTCGCATGAATCGGCCCAAGGCTAGACCCTCTGTGAGACCACATCCTGGCTCATCTCCCCTTCCTAGCCCACTCACCAGCACAGCGCCTCTCAAGAAACCACATGCACCAAATCCTCACCTCAGGCTGTGCTCTGGAAAACCAACCTAAGACACTTTCTCCAGAATAGGCCAGCCCAGTGAAGAATCCAGAACCCTGGGACTTCAGCCACAGGTAAAAGAATAGGCAAATAATGCAGCATCTACCCAGCACAGTGGTGCTGAGACACTGACACTCAGGGAGATTTTGAAACAACATACAAAAATACTTGGGCTGTAATGTTAACTGCTGGTTGGAAGAGAAGGTCAGTTACCAAGTGCCCCAAATACCAGGTGTGAGCTTCGAGGGGGAAAACAAGTGATTAAAAGGAAACCAAAATGGTGACTGATTGTATCACAGTCAAAGGATTACGGTATATTTCTTTCTTTCTATTTTCCCAATTTTCTATATAATGTCATTTATTAAATATAAAGGAAACCTTAAAAAGGGCCTAATGAAATATACTTTGTTTAGCACTCTCAATAACACAAAATAACAAAAAGAATCAGAAACTTAAAACCAGCAATGCTGGATGCAACTGGAGAAATTCGGCTAGTCTGGCCAGATTACCCACAGCCTGGAAATTCCTGAAGAGTGGAACAGAAGGTGTCCCGCGGCCGACTCACAGACCATCACGGCTTATAGGTCATGGCATACAGCACTTCCTATGGACTCTCGCTCGACTCACAGACCATCACCGCTTAATGGGTCATCACATAAAGCACTTCCTTCTCTGAGGCTTGGAATGAAACATGGGCAGTTCAGACTAGAGGATCTCTACGGTTCCTCTGGCCTTAAAATTGTCCAAATACTTGATGCTATAAAATTAAGAAACAGGAAAAGTAAACTTAAAGCCACTGGCTCAGGCATGTGGTGATCTCAGTAAGCTTGGAGCTTGGCCACAAATTTGAAGGGAGAGAAAAAAACATCCCCCAACTTACTGGAGAGTTTTCACTTTCTTTGAGTTCCATCACAGAGACTTAGATTACTGGGGACATAAAACTTGTCTGCATGCCAACTCTTAAAATATCTAGTTTTCAAACACCAAAGAGATAGATGATGAAACTAGGAACAGTGCTAGTAAAAATAAAGAACATTTTCAGTGCTTGATTGATGGGAGATTTTCCTGTGAAGTTAAGGGGGGGAAATCACAACCACCAAACACCTGTGAGGAGACACCTAAGGTACGCAGTCACACACTTGCAAGAAAAACTATGAATCAGGTGCAAAGCAAGTTATAACGCACTTAGCACATCAAGTACTTCTCTGGTGCATAAGAGATTAGGATTGTTTCTTCCCTTCCTCCTGAGAATCTATACAAGTAAATTAAAGTCCTCCCAGTCCACCAGCTCCTCTCAAAAGAAAATGCAGTTAGAAAAAAACACACCAAGATTGTTGCTTCAGGGGGGAAAAAAGTACAGCATTAGAATCTCAGAGAAAGTAGCATACAAACACAAAGGCATTCATTGGAAGCCAGCTGTTCTTAATAACCAGCTTCCTCTTTCTTGCCCACTTATTACTAGAACAGACACCTTCAACCAGAGAATGACATGTATCTCCTGCAAAGCAGGGACTAATGGTCAGCCTTCCTCCAGGGATACAGAAAACTTAAAGCAGAAGATCAAAAGTCTCTGACAGCAAGCCAGAAACAAGGTCCTGCAGGCACAGAGGCACTAACCCAGAATGCAACGGGCTGAGGTAGCATGTGCTTATTTTAGGAGGCCCACTTGCAGAAAGCAAAAGGGTGCCAGTAAAGAAGAATGCTGCTCTGGGCACCAGACTGGCACATATGCAGACAAATTGTCAAACAGCGCGCACTCGCACACATTCTCTGTAATGTGATCCCACCTTATTAAGCCTCAACACTGACCATTTGAAAGAGGGAAAGGGAGGCGCAAAGGTGTATCATGGGGGGGTGACAGGGGGCAGGGGACTACCTCCTTCTTTTCATCTCTAGCAAGGTCCACCTGTGACATAAGTTGGACCTCAGTCACACCCAGGGCTGTCTCCACCCAGCTAGGAGTAGAAGCCACATTCTTCTCCGTGGAAGGGCTGCTGGACCACATCACCCTGCCCAGTGAGAGGCCTAGCCAGGACTCCCTGATTGGGGGAGGAGGGACAGAGTCCTCTAGTTTCATTAGTTTCTGGGGGTTCCCAGATCACGTACCCCACAATGTGTAGAATTCCTGAGTTCCCCCCAGGAAGCCAGGAAGGGAGGTGTCAGAAAAAGACTATTTGCGAATATCAAGGCTAATCCCAGTCTGTGGGCAGCCTGGGAGTGAATTACCAACTATTCCCTTGTGTCTCATCTGTCAAACGGATCCCTAGCGTTTCCTCCCAAAGACCTTTCATCACAGGTTTAGGTTCCTCCCAGAGATGCTGAAGGGATATGATTCCACTCCTGCACACCCTTCCACACTCCTCCACAAAACCCAAATTTCCACCAGTCCAGCGCCTGGAATAAGTCCCCTGACTCTCTGAGTCTCCTGACTCTCATGGCAGCGCCTTGTGCACCTGCGTCCTGGGGTCCAGAGCTAGAAGAGGAAGAGCACATGGACCCCAGTCCCGGACCCAGCAGCTCGGTACATGCCTTTCCCTACCGGAGAAGTCCTGATGAACCCCCTCCCGAGGTCATGCCGACACCGGGGGCCCCCTCCTCCCACACAACCCACAAACACACAGGTCACGACCGGCCAGGCCCAGGCGGGCTCCGCTCCGACCGGAGCTACACCGAGGGCAGGACCGCGACATGCGCAGTGGCGGCCGCGACCAGCGTGTACGCAGCGAG